CACACACACACTGCCTCTAGAAAGAGGCAAACATACTTTATGAAATATTAACACTGCAGTAATAATTCATTTAAATGGTATTAAAATAATGATCCCACGGAGCAGATAAAACCGTTCTATGTTTTAGGAAGAATATCGACTATCAGACTCAATAGTCCCCTGGCATATGTCATTCCAATGTTCAGAAACACACTGCTTAACTTGCACATTGTTTGACTCGGTTATAAGATATTTATACAAGTTTTTGTAAATAAGCATTAATCATGGAATTTGTATGACAACATACTCCAAGATACTGTATAAAGCAAGCTCAGAGAAAACTGCAAACAATATATAAGCAGATCCACAGCTGGATACCATACCCAGCTTGCCATTATAAAAAATGGAAATTCTCATATTTATAAGAACTTTAAGCCTCAGGACACATCTACTCTATGAAGAAGCTGGCTTCTTATGTGGGCAGAACAGATGTACGAAAAACACTGTTGTCAATCTACATTTGATATAAAACAGTGCTTGATTTTGTGCGTGAGAGTGGGTGATGAAGTTTCAAAGTACATGCTACAGTCCTTTCTTAAGAGGTGAAGTGCTAGAATTTTATAAAAACCTTCTTAATTCATCTTGGATTTTCTTTTGAAGTTTCAAGCCTTACACTGAGTAGGTCATATACTCCTTCAACAGAATTTCTCCTTAAAGGAGATAAACGTCTCAGCACTCTTTTTTGGCTTCATATACAGACAAACAACAACTTTCACTACAGCCAGAAGTTCTTTTAGTTACACTTAAAATATTTTCTTTTCCTAGCACTCTGATACGCACTGGTAACCTTTAAATTACTAACTACAAATTTCTAAGTTTTCCTGAGTCTCTTCCATGTAACTCAGGAAGATCAACTGCTAAAATTCATCTGATTAATACAACATTAACTGCTGGAAAAAGCATCTCTAGAAAATTAATAGGATACAGGCACACGTCCGAACCATACACGCTTGCTACCTTCCCTCCCTCAAAATATTTTTTAGTCAAGAAACCAAATGATAACTTAAGCTATGCTTGTCTTAATGAAGCAGAGCTTCCAGAAATTTAATTACTCTACTGTTCATAAAGGAACAAAATAATGCAGAAGTAGTAATGATGCCACTCGCATGTTTAAATATATGCTCAAACATAAGGTAGAGAGGTTTGTCAGCAGCTGATCCAACACTGATGAGTTTCAGGGAGATGTTTTAAAAACTGCTCAGGATAGAATTTTTGCAGCCACTCTGAAACAGTGACTACTTCAGAGAGCAGCAGCCATCTCTAAACATTGCCAACAACCAGAAAGCCAAGTAGTATGACCCTAATATTCTACTCTGCTTTGAAACCAGAGACAGAACAACAGTTCACCAAGAAAAAAGGGGACATTTTGGTTAGAGGGAGGTGATTTTCGTGGAGATACATTAAATAGGAGAAAATACCTAAAGGCTTTACAAGAAAACCCCATTAAAGCAAAAGAGAAGGCATATGTCTATACGTAAACAAAATCTAAAGACTTCAGATAAAGAGCTGAAGTTATGTCTTTGCCTATTTTTAATACAATTAATTTTATTCCATAGGTCATTACTCACTAAAATGGAAAGATTTCTACTTCTTATGTTGGTTGCACTATTTCAAATGAGCAGTCTTAATATTTTAAATAATGTAAGTGTAAGGCTTCTATCCTTTGTAAGTATTTTTAAGCCTAACAGTTAATATATAATAATTATTTTTAGTACATTCTATTCAAGAAAAGCTGTATGACAAAGATAGGACTAACTCTGACAGTATTTATTAAGAAATAAAGTTTCCCTCACTCACTGCTTCTACTCCCCGCCCAACAAAACCACACATAACTCAATGAGATCCCACTGACTACTTGGCAAAATCTGTAAAGTTCAGTATGTTACCACATTTTATACTTAAAAAATAACACATTACTACAAAATTGAAAACTAGAACAAAAGGCAATATCCTGGCAATTTTGCACACTGGAAGTATCGATTGACTTTAAAGGGATACAACCATCAGAACACATTTTTTTATTAATTCATAATATTCAAATAGTAAAATACTTCACCTTTGCTACCATTTAACAAATTCACTCAGTATCACCTACTTTAAAGCTGTCATCTATAGACAAAATACAGCCCGCCATTCTAAAGAATCAAATTTCATAGCTACTCTACTGTGAATTTATAACTATCAAATGCTGTTTATGTAATTGTATTTTCCATCTTCTGTTCTTGAACATCTGGTTAAAGAAAAATGATGTGGTTTTTTTCTCCTTTTGCAGAAGTAAAGCAGAAAGGACAAGTAAGTCAGATGTAAGGGTGAAAGTACAGCTCAGGAACCTTCATCAGACTCAGATAACTTGTCTACATTCATTTTGTCATTATAATATTTCAGTAAATGAATAACATCACAGTGTACAAGGACAAAATAGTTCTTCTGATATTCCACTGCACAATTTCATTTTAATATTACACTATAATTGTAATATGATTTACACGGAGCCTACAATTTACATTTTTTTAGTGCAAATATTTTCTTACAGTTTGCAAAGCAAATTATTTGATTACACTTTGGCAGGAAAGCTTGAAAATGTGGGGTTTTTTACTCCATTTTTCTTTTTAATTTGCAACTTAGATTTAGATTAGGCTTCCACCTGTAACACTGCCATTCTGCTCATAAATTAATACTATTAATGTAGTACACATATATTAACCATGAGAGATTTTTAAAAACAAGTTGATCAGACAATTTGCTGGAAAGTATTTTGCTAGGTGAATGTCTCAAAAATATTTACCAATTCTCTGAATAGCTGCAATATCAAGATAATTTTTGTACAGTACTATAAAAATTACTGCACAGTAAGACATGTGTCCATAGGCTGTAAAATTATCGCACATTAATTAATTAAATGCTATGGAAATACCACAAATTTGCAAAATAAAGCTTTCAGAATTCTTTAACTATTAAACGTAAATCTGTAAGCAAAATTGTAATTTTGTCCTTTCCTACCTACACATTTATATCCCAGTAACTATTCTTTATGAATGCAGAGACACCTGTCATACCACTTTGCAAGTATGAGTAGACCTTGTTGGGGTTGCTTAATTTTAAATTTTAATTTGCCATGTCCAGCCTGCAACCTCACTCTTACCAACCCTCTTCCCACTGAGCCTGAGTCCAACCAGTACAGCAGACAATGGCATATGGCAAATGAGTCAGAAATAACTTGGATAGAAGGCAATGAATAAGGTAGGAGGCCACACACTGAGGATAAAAAAAACCCCTACATAGTTCAAAAGACTTGTTTCATTCATAGAACATGGAATGAGGCAAGGGAAAAACTGCATGTAACTGGGAAGATATTGTAATGAATACACAGAACGAAGAGCATTACAACTACACCAGCCGCCTTAGCTTTAGTAGTCCCAGACTTAGGGCATAGGTCCATAAATCTTTACAAAATCTGACATCTATCAGATCAAAATTGCAATACTTTGTGTTCTTTCCCTTTTTTTCTAGTAAACAGTCCATTCTGTCCATGATGTCTTAGAAAAATCTTACATATGACTAAAACTTCAAAGCAGACAGCACATGAATGCAGAGCTCGAATCACACCTCAACACATTTGCTATTCCCAAGAACAAGAGAGTTCTCTCCAGCACCTTGGGAAATGTTGCATCTGTCAGGAAAGTGTTATTCAACTTCCAGTAAAGATTACTCAAAATTTTGCATAGAAAACCTACTCTGTTTGGAACTACAAACTTGATCCAGGTCAGTATAATAGATAGGGTGCACTTTCTGAAAGTCTAGCAACATTTTTAACTTTAATAAACACAAATGACATGGTAACTTTTGTTTACCACACATTCATCTGTTGTTTTTTAATTTGTTTTTTTTTCTTTACTAAAGGATATCATTGTTTGCCTAAAAAGCATTTTATGTTTGAATAAATGTTGGTTCTATGAAAATATGGTAAAGAATTACATTAAACCACTTCAATATACGAATCCACAGTGACAGCAGAACAGCACTATAGCATTTAACGGTACATCTGCAATTCATTTCACTCCATCAGCCAAAAGATGCATTTATACTGTAGCTATTACAAAACTTGAGAGAGTTTCAAAGCAAATCTCAATCTAAGCACCTTGATCTTGATGGCCCAGTTAAAAAACAGTAAGACAGAAGGGACTCTCTTCAATAAAATGCAAACAACCATACTTAAAGAAAGTTATTTTTAATTTTCTTTCATAAATCAATTAAATGTACCAACCTGAGGGTTGGAGCATTTTATTTCAAGGGACTCAAGGTCGACATGGAGGCAGACAACAAATGAGTGTCTGGATTCTGGCCCCGAAGCATGAAGTTTCTGTGAAGTAACAGCTAAAGTAGAAGTACAGCCCATTGGTTCCACTAAATTAAGTGTCATCTGTTGTCCAAGAAGAGTATATATACTGAAATGATGTAGACTAATAGTCCATGGAAAAGCATCACCTAATGATTAAAAAGAAGGGAAAAGAGTTAAATAATTGCATAATCAAAATGAGGCTACTGCTTTCTCAAAACTCAGTAAAGGTATTATCCTAAAACCCTTTAGAAGTCAGCAAGTGCCATCAACAATCATTAAATTGAGCTCAGAGTTTCACAAATATAATTCAACTGTCGATCCCGCTCTATACCTCAAAATGTAAACAAATTTTTTACAACTTTTAAAACATTGAAAACCATTGGGAATTTTAGCCCTAAACTGTGAACAGAAATGTACAACGCAGTCTTTTTAGAAGTATTTTTGCTTTACGCTATTTTCCCCAAACCGAAGAGTACCCTGAAACCACTCCCACTTGTTTCAGCACAGGGATGACAGAGGCAGTTCCTCACATTATGTACTTGTATATGTTCACAAGTTTTAATACTAAAAAAGAAAATTAAATTTCCTCTAAAAATTCACAGCTTGCATTTCAGCAAAGTGGTGCCGGAGAGTAAAGTCTATCCCTGAACATCTCAGGTAATGAGACCTTGATTACAGTGCAGCTTTTTCCACTGCCTCCATTTAACTTTCAAGGAAAAGAATGGTGATAAATTTTGTAAAAACAAATTACTACAGAAACACATTGAGCACTTAATTTCTTGTATTTAGGAGGGAGCCTATCCAGGGAAGTGTCTGGCAGCCTACCATGAAACATTATGAAGAACTGGCAGTGTCAAGCTGAACAACAGAATGGTTGCAACTGTACAATTTGTTTTCTTTAGCTTGACAACAGATGGGAAAGAAAAGGAAAAGTTTCCAAAGCAGGAGCACAGAGAGGATTGATTGGGTAGGTCTTCAGAAGGCCAACGAGAACTCTTTTTAGTGTGAGAATGCCTTCACTCTACCAGCTAGAGCTGAAAGGAACTGAGAGCACAGATGGAAACGGAAGCAGAATCCTTGTGGTGGGTTGACCCTGGCTGGAGGCCAGGTGCCCACCAAAGCCGCTTTATCCCTTGCACTCCTCAACTGGATAGGGGAAAGAAAATATGTGGGTTGAGTTAAGGACAGGGAGATTACTCAGCAATTACCACCACAGGCAAACTAGACTTGATTTGGGAGAATAATTTAATTTATTGCCAGTTAACACCAGAGTAGGATAATGAGGAAATAGAACAAATCTAACCCCACCTTCTCCTCACCTCTCCCTTTTTCCTGCACTCAGTTTCACTCTGAAATTCTCTACCTCATCCCCCATGAGTGTGGCAGGGGGACAGGGAATAGGGATTGTGGTCATGTTGTTTCTGTTGCTCCTTCACACTCTTCCTCTGCTCCAGCATGCAGTACCTCCCATGGGAGACAGTCCTCCCTACCACAGTGTGCAGTTCTTCCCTACCACAGCAGGCAGTTCTTCATGAACTGCTCCAGTGTAGGTTCCACAGGGGAAGTCCTTCAGGAAAATACCGTTCATATCCCATGCAGGGTCACGGTCCTGCCAGAAAACAGGCTCCAGTATAGGCTCTCCAAGCGGTCACAACATCCTTCAGGACTCATCTACCTGCTCTGGTGTAGTGGGATCCTCCTGAGCTGAAGCATGGATATCTTCTCTACCATGGACCACCACAGACTGCAGAGGGACAACCCACGGTCTTCACCATGGTCTTCACCACAGGCCACATGGGAACCTCTGCTTCAGCGCCTAGAGAACTTTCTCCCCACTCCTTCTCTGACCTTGGTGTCAGCTCAGTTTCTTTCACATATTCTTACTTCTCTTTCCCAGCTACTGTAGCACAGTAGGTGTTTTCCTCTTCTCAAATCTGTCACCACAGAGGTGCTACCAACATCGTGCTGATGGGCTTGGCCTTGGCCAGTGGTGGGTTTGCCTTGGAGCCGGCTGGATCTGGTTCTGTTGGACAACTTTTAGCATCTTCTCACAGAAGCCACCACTGTAGTCCTCCCTGATACCAAAATCTTGCCACACAAACCAAATACAATTCCACATATAATAACTTGGTCCCAGAGAAAGAATTTAGGCTCTGCAAGAAACACAGAGCCAAAATCCAACACAAGCTCAACAGGAGTGAGGAAAATGAGACAATGAAAGATATGTGGATAATTCTCATTTTACCTGAAAGATGTTATTTTGCTCTTTAGGAGTACAAGAACATAACAATTATTTCAGTTTTGAGGTGTTTTTTTTTTTTCCCCTTCTAAAGAAGGTCTTCATCACTCCTTTTAACAGACTGCCCCAATTCCAAGTAACATAAAAGCACCTGGATGAAGCCTCAGAAGGCTGGTGAAAATCCACAAACCTCAGCCTGGGCTGAAACAGTCTTCATCTTTGTACAGAGCACATTCATCTGAATAAAGAGAAGGAGAAACATTCTCCTTCCTCTGTCAAAAATGAAGAAGATAATTTGGTATGAGGTTTTATTTTTCAAGATTTTGGCCTGAAGTCATGGGTAAGAGCAGCCAAAATTAAACTAATATCCCAGAAGCACAAGAGCCAGACTTGAGAATCAGAATAGGTGGCAACAAATAAAAATATAAATATATACACTAGGATGAGTCCTTGGAGGCTCACAGGGCAATAAAGAATCCAAATCAGTATATTAAAACAATATATGGAGAGTGTGTTTGCTGCCTGGTGTGGCCTATGATCAACACCGTCCTGTTGAGCAATCACAGCACTATGAAATAGCACAAATTAAGTGTTAAGTATGATTATTTAAAAGAAACTTCAGAAAAGTTTTGATATTAAAATAAAGCTAGATCCAATAATCTTTTTACCATACTATTTTAGTAAAAGTTCTGTTGTTTCTTCCACAGGTGGCATCAGCAATAAATTTATATGGTCAGGAGTATGCATAAGTAGTCTGTCCCATCCTAACGAAGAAACCAAAACTTCAATAGTTTCTTTTTAGGCTATTGCATAGTGAAGAACTCCGGTCAGTCAAAGGAACTTCAAAATATTTTGGAAAGGTTTCAGATTAGAAATTTTAAAGTAGTTAGTAGTCTATATTTTTTTCCAAGTTCAGTCATCCAATAAATACAAAATATTAATTGTAATAGATGGGGGAAAAATCAAATGCTAAGTCAACTCTAATGGCATATTTCTAGTTACAATGCATGAACTTCGTTTTTCTCTGTGATCACCACAGTAAATTAACATAATTTGTACTTCATGGATTAGAAGGAAAGAATCTCCAAAGAAAATACTGAATGTTAACTCCACTATGCTATATACATTTTATCGACCTTAAAAGGTAAACACTGATCAAATTTTATCCATGTACAGAAATCACAGTATCTTGAACAAACACTGCCTTAAGTATATGGCGTAATTATATAAATTCCCCCTAATGTCACCAATTACCTCTCCTTCAGCTCCATACACACTACATGACCATTATACTGGAACTGCCCATCTGATAAATCCTTGCTTTGTTGTTGTACTTAGGTTTGCTTTATTACCTGCATTCATTTGCAGATTGGTTTTATGAAACTATTTAAATAATTAACTCCAAGTGTCTAAACACCAAAAGCAACATGGTTTATAGGTTTTATTAAAAAAATTATATATTAGTATGAAGGAAGGAAAAGTCAGTGTCAGCAGATATTTTCTCTACATCTAACCTTCTCATCCATGTATACTATTATTTTGTCACCCAATTGCTGAGATTCTTTTAAGTAAACCTGAAATTGCCTTCAGTGAAACTAGAGCTCACCCCGCACTTCCTATAGGCAAGACACACATGAAGGACCCCTAGCATGGATGAAGATTCTGGTTAATTCACGATCTACTTCTCTCAAATATGCTCATTTAAAAATTCTTAAAACATCAGTACTGATTTAAAAATCACGAAAATGCATCCATTAAGATATTTCAACTGCTTTGATAACTTCACAGAATCACAGAATTGTTGAGGCTGGAAAAGACGTCTGAGATCATCAAGTCCAGCTTATAATTCTCAGAATCACAGAACGGAAGGGGTTGGAAGGGACCTCTGAAGACCTTCTAATCCAACCCCCTGCTTCTTAAATTTCTAAATATCACTTTCAGATCTTTGGCAGTTCACTAACCCAATCAACGAGACAATTTTCAAAGAACTGGCATTCAGCATTTAACTGCTATTTGTAAAAGTTTAGCAAGACTCCTTCCCTACAGAGCGTTTGATTTATTTTTCCAATACACATAATTACAAATTTTTACGCTATGTGCAAGCACTTTCTCTGGGAGTTATTTGATGAACGTTGTTTCTAAGCTCGCTATAAGCCTTTCCATATGCATGACATTCAATACTGATAAATGTACTTCACTAGCAATGATTGCTAAATGGTTGCTCTCGTTTTTATATGACACGTTATCTTAAAAAACAGACTGCAGAAGCGGCAGCTGTACACAATATTGTTTATACAATGTTGACAGTTGTACAAAAGTGAAATTTTGTTTGTTTAAAATTAGTAATGGTAGGAGAGGGATCGTGAAAACTTTGCCACGTATCTGATCTGGGGTCTACTCCCAGGCTTGTGGAAGTTACACTTCGCAATCTTCAAAAAGCATCTTGACCACCATTTTCATTTCCTTTTCTGTATCCACGTCTCTTTACAGAGATTGCCAATGCGCTCACATTTTCATGCGACACACAACGTTTAACTAATATTATAATATACAAATATAGAATTTTATTAATGGGAACACATAAGTTACCTGCAATAATTACCGTGTTTTACAGATGATGATACTGAATACAAACTCAAATGACACACTATTTGACCATCAAATATCAATCTATTTACAGAAATTATTGAGTTGAGTATTTTAAAAAAAATCTCATGCAAGATGATAACTTCTACGAATGTCAACATACTGCTGCTGTACTTTAAACATTTAACTGCCTTTTTTGCAGGTTGACATTCGTATGATTCTAATATATAGTAGTTTACTACCAATACATTTCATTATAATTAATTCACACACTACTATTAGAAGCCTTAAATTTTGATTTGCCTCACAGTCACTTGGCAACTTACTGCATTTAAACATATGCTACAAAATTCTGTGAGGTTATATAATTTGCCATGTTCCACAAAGAAAATCCAACTCTCAGATTTAAATGTTTGGAATACAGTGATTTACATGATTGTCAGTATACTGTTACTCATATGAGAATGTTAATATACTATCTAGCAATATCAACAATTTCAAGATATTTTGAACACAGGTTTCTAAAATGCTTTTTAATGTATCTTACCTAAATATTTGTATCTTACTTTGTATCTGACCTGACTAGACACTTTTACAAAGATAGATTCATAAAAATTACCAGGAGGAACCCAAAAATGAACACTTTACATGTGCCAGCTAAAGATTATTGAAAACAAAGAAAAAAATTATGAAAAAGAAAAAAAAAAAGAAAAAAGAAAAAAAAGAAAAAAGTATTGAAGCAGGGTGAACAGACTAAGAAAAACAGTAACTAGTTTAAAAATGTGAGTTCGAGCCAGGAAAAGGTTCTAAATTAAAATAATTTAAAAAATGTAAACTTCTAAAGTCAGGAAGATTTCATGGTTCCAAATACATTCTCATTATTGCTCTGAAACCTAGTGCTTTACCTGAAGATCACTAACCAGTCCAGAAGTCCTGATCATAACAACGTATTCCGTCCAACTGTAAATTTACTACAGTTTACCCTGTAGGCTGGGACTTAAGAGAGTATATAGATGAATTGCCAATTATTTGAAGTGGATGCACACAAGCATACCCAGAAATTCACAACTCTAAGCAATTCTCTAAACTTCAGTTCTGCTCAAATTGAGTTTTTAATGCTGCAATTTCTTCTTACTAACTATTTTACTTAAAGGGCAGCTAGAAATTGGACAGACGCTCACCTCTGTGAAGGACCCCAAATGGTTCACCTCTGTAAGGACCCAAAATAGGAAGACAAGGGGCAATAGGTACAAATTGCGCCAGAATAGGTTTCATCTTGATACAAGAAATAAATTTTTTTACATTAAGAGCAATCATTCACTGCAACAATCTCCCCAGGGATATGGAGGTTTTCAAGAAGTGATTGGACAAGGTCCTGGATAATCTCATTTAGGCTCCTTTTGTCATGAAAATTTGGACCAGATGATCATTCAAGATTCCTTCCAATCTGTGCTGCTCTATGATTCATTCTACGATCTATCATGCAATTGATTTGAGCTATAAGGATAATGGTTAATTTAATATCTTTTAATGAACTTATTTAGTTGTATCTGTTATTCAACAGAAGTTCAACAGACTATCTCATTCTTTACATAGATACTTAGTATGACTGAGCTAAGCTGTTTCTGAATCAAAGTACTGTACTTGAAATGCTCTTCTAAGCATTCCTAGAAACTAGAATTATGTCAAAAAAGAAATGCATCAGAACTCTAAAAACAAGCAGAAAGACCTGATTGTGGGATACTGTATAAGCTATTTTTACAGTATGTTGACATCTTGAGGTCAGTAAGTCTCTGTGGGTAGACTGCAATATCCCCAAATGACAGTATGGCTGTGCTCCCTTTTCTTCCTCTTCTAGTTTTTCATATAATAAGAAAAATACATGAACAAGCACACAGCTTTCTTAAAAGTAACAGTACATCCTTGTAAACAAGCCTTTTACTTATATCTTCTTTATAAAACAAGGAATGATTAAAAAAAATAGTTTCCAGGAAAAGCAAGGTTGAATAAATATAATTTCAGAGAGACAGCAACACGTCTTTAGAACGACAGTATGTTCCCAAATTCTTGTTCAAAGACAGAACCCAAATTAAGAGAGCCTCCCAACAAAAGTCCATAAAAATCATTTACCTCTACATGGGAAACAAAGAAAGTGACTTACAAGCTTTGAGAAAACTTTTCAATAGTCTGTTTAAGGGGAAGGTTTGACATAGGAGAAGGCAACAGCTCCATTAGGGAATCAAAAATATCGAGATTGTGAGAACTTCTGTTTGGCATCATTCCCAGAGCACAATGTCACACACAAATAAATTCCTTACCATAGGCTTTATCCCAACCAGGGGAATTGTTTTCTCTCACTAGGATCTTTCCTTCAAATCTGAGGTTTGACAAAATTCAAATGACTTCTTACTTTCATAAAAGGTTTAAATTACATCATCAGTTTAAAATCAACCAAGTCTTTGGTTAAATTATTTATCTTTTATCCATCACTATGATTAGCAAATTAGATA